GATGGCGCATAGCATGGCGTGTAGCCTGTATGCAAGGAGTGATTCGTCAATACTTTGTATTAGCAAGCGAACAAACCCATGGAGAGATGTGTAGCATTTTGTGTCCGTAGCTCAAAATTAGGAATTTGCTTAGTTTAGTGGTGCTATGGTACATTCTACAAAAACTTCTTTGTTTYGTGTTGTTCGTTTCAAAATTTCGTAACCTCGAATCGATGGGAAGCGGAAGGAATGCATCGATGGAGTGGCATCGCGTGCAAAGCAAGGCTTGTTTTCCGGTGAAAAATCCCATACCAAACCCGACCATCAGCAGGCCCGGGCCCGGACCCGCCGGGACGACGCAGGGTCTTGCGACGAGAGATACCGCTGGTGCGTTTGCCGCCGGTGCTTTCGCTTCTGTTTTCGCAGGGCGTGTGCACCCTCTACCGCGAACGCGACGTCCGGTGGCGGGACCATGGACGAAACAGAGGGAATCATCATGGCTGCCAGCGCCGCTGTGCGGGCCGCGCTTTCGTTCAGACGGTTTCTGTCGTGGTCTTTGGTTCGGTTGCCGCTGCTGCTGTTTGTGGTAGTGTTGATGCTGCTGCTGCTGCTGCTGTTGCTGCTGCTGCTGCTGCTTTTGGGGTTGTTGCTATAGAAGACTTCCACGTAGTCGTGGAGGGCCTGTACAAAGGCAACCTCGGTGGACCACCGGTTGCATTGCTGGTATATGGCTGCCACAAAGTCCCCGCCCATGCCGTTCTTGTGGGCATACACGACGCACCGATTCGAGAGCAGCCGCTGGCGCTGCCGAACGAAGGTGCAGCTCTCGAATCCACGGTAGATGGACAGATCGTTGTCGTCGTTGCTCTCCCTTCTTTGCTCCTGCTCATGCTCCTGTTCGTGCTCGTGCTGGTGTTCGTTCGCAAGGTTTCCGCCCCATTTCCGGTAAACGACCGCCAGYTTCCGCCCGGCCTCCTTGAAAGAGGCGATCTCCGGGTTTGTGAACCAGATGTGGTTCGCTTCCTCCGGCGAGGCCCGCTCAAAGGGTGCGACGTGGACCATCTGGTTGAACCGAACCGACTTCTTTGTCGTGCTCTTGGGGCGTCTCGTTGGAAGCCGTGTCTTGTTCGTTGACAGCTCCGTCATTGCAACGGTGGGATCTTGTAGCAACGAAGCGGGAGAACACATTGGGATTTGATGTGACGAAAGCGATAGCATTGTTGGTAGATGAGAATGGTTCGTTGCAATTCGTTGCAACAAGTTGATTGGAGGTTTGTGWGAATAGAGTCCTTCTTTTGTGCTTAGGTTTAGGATTGTGATTCCGTTCGTTTGGTTTCTTTCCSCGGCGTTTCCTGGCCTTGTTGCAGACTGTGTAGGTGTTTTTGTCCGTCGAAACTTCAGTGTGTTTATGTGGTGATGGATGATAAATGTGTCCACAAATTCAGGAAATCTTAAACATTTTTTTTCTGAAAGGTAGGTAATGCAAATCGTATGGTACYTTTGGCCCAWGTAGTTTTTATTCATTGTGCGATCTGGGTACTGTAATTCAGTTACAGGTACTTGATCATGTATTCATCAGGCTTAGTACCTGAATGACTTATATGCCCTTTCAAACCCATGATGCACSATTGATAATTAAAATGTCAACAATATCGAATTCCTGCATACGGTTTTGCAAAAAACAAGTACAAAGTAATAAAAAGATCTGGCAATTTCAGACCAATTCGATACGCCGCGTCGTTCGATGATCAAAGATGTTCTTCTTTTTGTTAATGAATGACATTTATACCATACAAAAAGAGTTTAAAATCTGTGTTTCAGATCTGAAGTCATTCTCCATACACCAGCAGATGCATTTCTGCTTCGAAAATGTTCTTCTTACTAGACTACGATACAGTATTATTGGATTTCGGAATTCGTACCGTAGCACAGTCCTTGAATGTACGTTTCAGTTCTCTCGTACATGTTCAACGGACCAGATGCTCCTAAAAAGAGAACCCAAAGAGGTTTCCCATACCCGGGTACATACCCGAACCGGGTTTGGAGGGATGATTCAGTCCGTAATGAAGAAGCTTACCAGGTACCGTAACTTATGGACCGTACGATTATTGGTACGTACTCGTAGTCGTAAACTGACGCCATGCTCTAATCGTGATACGGTACTGTGATTGTCTCTCACGATTGGGTCAGTAGGTTTTGTACGGAACGTTGTATGTACAGTATCGTACGAACCGTCTGGGACCTTCGGATCATCGATATCAGAAGTGCGAAGTGTTTGTTCGCACCGCAAAACTCAATGAAGGAACCAAAACAAAACCTGTTCTCACCCCAGCCAACGCGACGGTACCGTACATGAACGAACCAAAAGGCCACGTACAAAAGGAAACCCAGATGCTTTTCAAAATCGTACCGGCTTCGGATCGAGCATCTCGAAATTCACACGGTGTCAGCTCCTAGGTACGCATCTCGTAACTAAATACCATGAATAAGTAACTTATTTTCTACGTTAAAAGTACTCAATCACAGTATCGGAGAGGTGCTTTCAGACAGAGTTCGGGCACCTAAACACCCGCGATTCAAAAAAAKATCGTGGCACTGACACGGAGGYTCGTCCTACGCCACTGTTCTACCGGGCTGATACAGTCCCGATGTGACGCGACGCAAAAGGCGTAAGAAAACATAAGCAACGGTGCCGTCCACCGGGAATGGGGCATTTCCAACTTGAACTATCGGCTGTACGATTTGCGTTGCTAGTAGTACTTCAACCGAACGGTACCATTCGCACTTCAACCGGACACACACGGAAACAACAAACGGGGGATTGGAATGGCATCAAATCTATTGTTCTGTCGTGAAAGAGAGTGATGTCACTCCCGACACGGTGTTGGGCAATTATAGGCTTTTCCTTCCTCCCCCATTGCCAATGCCGTTGCAATGGTGGTATGGCTCTCGGAATGCTAGCAACCAGCGTCTCCTTCTTCTCCAACGACGGTACTGATAAGATTGAACAGGATTTCACAGCTGCTTGGACTGTTGCCGATTCATGAAGTTTCCTGTCTCGTAGCGTTGTGCAATATATGTAATATCTAGAGCATGAAACACGCTTTCGGAAGGGGGGAAAGTAGACATGTTCAACGTAACGTTATTGAACCAATCTAGTGTGATCCACACATCCATCCATTGTAACCTTTTCACAGGTGCACTGCGTTTTAGCTTGTGGCGATACTACTACTACCATAGCGTACAGATTTAGGCTAGTAAAAGCCACCATAATAGAACCTCTCTGCCTGGCCGAGACATGCCTTGTTTCTCGGTGCGACGTCTTTGCATACGAATTTTACCGGGCTGCTAGCCGTCTCCGAAAGAAAATTGAAGGATAGTGATGACAATGATGCGACAGTAGCAGCTAGTCTTCGTCCAGAAAGTTCCTGGTACCGTTTGTAGAAAACGGTATCAGAACAAAAACTACTAGTAGAATATTCCTGTTCGGATTCGTCTCCGCGTCTCTGCCAATGGTCCGAAGAAGAACCTGTAATGTGTAATGCCTAGGCCGGTACTTCTACTGGACCGTAGGAACGGTACAGCGCACCGTTAAAAGTACCGACTTGTAATTCACTTCGTACGTCCTACCGGTACTAGGAAATCTCGTACGACTTTTACGACACCGGGATCTGTCTGTTGTCTATTTCGAGCAGTTACAATATTATGTTACATATCTACGATACATACCATATTATACTGCAAGCTACAGTAATGAAATCATGTTACTCATATGCCCCTCAAATGCTACGTACGTATCTAATCTATTTAATCTATGATGTGAAGAGTTCTTTGCATACCGGTACAGTGGAATTCCTATTGCTCTGTCCTCGTACGTGGAAGTCAAGTGAATGATACTCGTACTTCTGCACAACGAGAACACGGCGCGTGTCATGRGACTTACCGACTGACTCATTCGTGAACTCGAATCTCGATCCTCGAAACCGGTTGTTCCAAGTGGAAACGTGGTTGAAGATGCGCGGGTGGAACATGCGGGTTATTCTGGTTTTGCCTTCTTGGCGCTATGGTTTTGGTTTCTGGCGGAATTGTTCTCCTTTTTTCTCGTCGATGTGTCGTTTGTCGTTTCTCCATGATGTGTTTCCTACTAAAAACTGTGTAGGAGCATCGGTATGTACTTGTACCGTAGCCGATTTTATTTCTCTTCGGCCGAGGAACAATCATCTAAAATTGCAATACTGAATTTATCTCTCGACCGTTCAGTGCTCGTACGCTACGGAACCATCGTTAAAGCGTTCCTTGTTCCCTTCAAAAGATACGAACCCCCGCGATTTCCATCTGCTTTCCGATTCGGACCAAGAACCAACCCCCACCCGATCGGTACTCGCACTTATCACTCCATACCACACCAGTATCCCACCTGCTTCACTCGCACCAGCGCCATATACAATACGACAACGCGCGAGCCACATCAAGCGGAAGAATCTCAAAGATAGCGCCAACAGGGAAACGAAAGATACCGTTGCCCCACCACCTACAACAAACAAAAYAAATTGCAAACACAACAACACCATGAAATTCTCCAGTACCGCACTCTCCGTCGTCCTGCTCCTGGGCGCCGGCTGCGACGCCTTTTCCCCCCTTGCCAACGCGAACACGAACACAGGAGCAAAAGCGTCCGCCACCGCTCTGCAGGCGGCCGCCCAGGGCTCCATGAGCCAAAAGAAGGGAGACCGGCTCGAGTTCATGAAGAATCCCCAGTACCACCGCAGAGGCTTCAAGGACGTCCGCGAAAAGGTCGAAGAAACCATGGAGGAGCAATACAAGTCCGATCTGGTCGAGGATCTCAAATCGAACAACTTTCTGATGGAAAAGGAGGGCGTCAAGATGTACCTGGCCAAGGACTTTGGCTTTTGCTGGGGCGTCGAGCGTTCCATCGCCCTGGCCTACGAGGCCGTGGAACACTACCCCGACAAGAAGCTCCACATCACCAACGAGCTCATCCACAACCCCGAGGTCAACGACTCTCTCACGTCGATGAACGTTAACCTCATCGACAAGGAATCCACCACGGGCTCGAAGGATTTCTCCCCCGTCGAGGAGGGGGACGTTGTCATCCTTCCGGCCTTTGGCGCATCGTACGAAGAGATGGAGATGCTGGACAAGAAGGTGCGTGCGTGCGTGCTTGTCTTTTTATTCTTTTTTTCGCCGTGCTCTTTTGTTTTGATTGGTGTCGTGTGGTGTGCACCGCCATGTTATGCGATGCGATGCGATGCCATCCTACACGATGTTGCTATTTGGAACGAATCGAAAGACACGCAACACGGCGCTTGCCAGCTGTCCGGTCGATCGATCCTGATGTTACAACACGACTCACAAATAGTTTGTTGCTCCTCTTTCTAGAACGTCGAGGTCGTAGACACCACCTGCCCCTGGGTTTCCAAGGTATGGAACGCCGTCGATCAGCACCAGCGGGGGGGGTTGACCTCCATCATTCACGGAAAGTACGCCCACGAGGAAACACTCGCCACCACTTCCTTCTGTGAGGATTACATCTGCGTCAAGGACATGAAGGAAGCCCAGATGGTGGTCGATTACATACAAAAGGGCAAAGAGAACACCAAGGAGGACAAGGAGGCGTTTATGAAATACTTTGAAAAGGCCGTGAGCGAGGGATTTGACCCCGACACCATGCTGGACAAGGTCGGTCTGGCCAACCAAACTACCATGTACAAGAAGGAAACCAAGGCGATCGGACAGCTCTTCCAAAAGGCCATCATGAAGACCTACGGACCCGCCAAGGTGGACGAGCACTACATGGAATTCGACACCATCTGCGACGCCACCCAGGAACGCCAGGACGCCGTGAGCGAGCTCGTAGACAACGCCAGCGGGCTTGGTCTCGATTTCATCCTGGTGGTCGGGGGCTGGGATTCCTCCAACACGGCCCACCTGCTGGAAATCCCCCACAAGGCCGGGGTCCGATCCTTCCACATCAACCGCGCCGATTGCATCGGGGCCGACAACACCATCACGCACCGAACCGTCGACGGAGAAATCGTTACCGAGGAGTTCCTCACCACCCTCGACGACACCGACCGGGACGTGGTCCTGGGGGTCACCTCGGGCGCCTCGACACCCGACGGAAGCGTCCAGGACGCCCTGAGCCAGATCTTCCTGCTCAAAAAGATGGCGTCCGAGAAAGCGGAGTAAACGAGCGAAGAAGAAAAGCAATCCGAAGACCAAACGAAAGGCCACCGGACGGAACCATGCGCGTGGCAGTACAGCAATCACAACGGAACGCGATACGATGGAAAGAACCCTGTGATTGGATCCGACACGGCACGGAACAGTCCCAATGCGAGAACAAAGGGAACACAAAGAAGCACAGAGGCGTACGGTACGCTAACCAATGAACGTGTAACAATAATAAGTAAAAGGAGACTTTGACGTAAGGAAAAATTATTGTTCGTAATACTCTGATTGATTGCTGCAAGGAGGAWGTAGTATACAACTATGGTAGGCCCTTTGTCGAAGGGAATGCGTCAAAAACAAGAGGCTGTGGCTTTTGCCACTGTCAATCACGGAGTCATGGATTTCTTACCAACCAGTAATAGCGTCCATTAGCTATTTGTTAGGTGCTTCTTTGCCCTACCATAGCAATGATGTTCCCTTGTCTCTCTTTGTACACTGCTCAAAAGAGCTATCGCCATTATCTTAAAGTTTTTATGATCTACCAGCTACTAGYATAATCCTTTTGTTCTTCTAGCTACTAGTTGCTGGAATATCAGCACAATTCAATTCTTGCACTAGCTGCAGAAGGGTAGAAGATGAGGCAGGAGCTGTAATGTGGTCAACATCCTTTTTTCTAGTAGCATTTAGCATCTTACTAGTATCTCATTACCATTTCCTTCAATGAGTTCTTTTTGAATACCACCATCAATACAAAAAGTTTGTTGGAATTACTTCTACTACTACTACTACTAAAACTTTCTTCCAGAAAAAGATCCAAGATAGGCTACTAACAAGTAGGAGACAGAGAGGGATAAGAGGTTTTTTTTTTGATAATGTCCATTCCAATTGTTGCCATTCCCAGATATGCAAACTGCTGTATGATTGCAAGAACAGATGAGAACTTCTTTCATCCCCACTAGTAGACTAATARTAACTTCATTTTGTACTCCTATATTACACAAATAAGGAGTCATTATAAACTGAGCTCACCAGCAGCAGCACTTGTCTTCCTCTAATATTAAAACTAAAGACGACGTACTCCTCCTTTGTGAAACAACACTTTCTCAAGAATATTGCTGCTGATATCAGTTTTGTTCTTAKTACTAGTACTACAAGTGTACTAGTAGTAGCTAGTAGTAGTGGGGAGGGATTACTTTTTGAGTGGAGGAAGTGATCCACCAGCAGAAAGAGCAGGAGGCTGCTAGCCATATAGTATATACCAAAGATATCTAAAGTACTACTAGTCTGTACTGGTGCCATAAATACTGGGGAAGTGAAATAATGTTTGTACWACTGCTGGTAATAGTGCTAGTATTGGCTAGTAGTATCTACTATGTCAATGATTTGTTTGCTGGAGAAGAATGTTCTGCACCACCAGCAACATYGTCATAGTAGAAGAAGTAGTAACAAGAACATATCAAGGTGCGCAACAACACTGTCATATGAATTCATTTCATTGATGTACAAGAGGAATACTAGAATGATACTACTAGTAGTAGTATCAGGGAAGAACCATTTTAGTCCCTTAATCATCACTGCTGGAGGAGCCACCAATTAACCAGTAAAATCCTAGTAATAATAGTACCACTACTACTACATACTAACYACAGCAGCCTTGCCACTTGTTGTTGCATAATGAAGCTGCTGGATGAAAAAAGGACAATTGAAAATGGAACTATTGACTCTGGTGGTTTGCATGCAACAGATACAAAAAAGCCCATTCAAGATTCCTGACAATTGCACTCATTTGTATTTCACTTCAACCTAGTAGATCTTCTTGAAATCCTCATTGTTCACTTCTTGGTACTATTGGCTGCTGGTTTGAGCTTTATGTCTTGATGGGAGCAACAGAATAATGATCTTCATGGACACAACTTGTCTGAGAAACAAGCACTGCATTTAAGAAGAGTGGTTGGTAGCAAACAAGCAGGTCTGATACTTCTTGATTATCCTGAAGCACAAAACCTGTCCAAAGCAAACCACCAATTCATTTCATACTGGTGAGCACCCTGAAGCTTTTATTTCTGATAAGAAAGCCACCAATACTTCTTTGTTGTTATATTACATTCAAGTTGTTGACAAGAAAAAGTCTACAAAGGCATTTGATCAGCTGCCTCCAACTCTGTTGCCAGTACACACCACCACCATCACCACTACAAGACTTGTATATACACTACTGCTTTACTAGAGTGGTCTTTTGAAGCTACTCCAAAAAGAAAAGAAACATACATTTTCCATTTGTCTCTTCAAGTAGCTTAAAAACCGACTTAAAGCTAGTACTTTTATGCTGCTACTTTAAAGCAGCTTTAAAGTACCTTTTAAGCTACTTAAAAGCTCGAGCTTATTATATCAGTAGACACGTGACTCAGTAGCTGAGACGTAGGTCCAGTAGCTTAAAGTACATGATTATGAGGAGGCACGTGTCTCAGTAGCTGAGCAGTAGCTGAGCCGTAGGTCCAGTAGCTTAAAGTATCTGGTTATGAGTCGTTTCCTAACGTCCCAGTAACGGAGCTGTACGTCCAGTAGCTTAAAGTATCTAGTTATGAGTCGTTTTGTAACGTCCCAGTATTGCGTGGATTGACCATAGCTACTACRGAGGGCGAACTGTACACATCATCATCATATCTTGACACTTCTTTTTTAGCATACGTGGTTTTCGCGTGGTCATTGGAATACGGTATTGAATTAGAAATTTCATCTTGATGCTGGAGGAGAGAAATAAAATCTGTTGCGCCCGTAACTCATGACCGCTACTCTGTCACACAAACAACAGTGAAGATGAAAACAACGAAAACAATGTATGCCCTGTTTCTCGCTGTGCTAACAGCCACCGCATCCTCTGCGTGGGCCTYCCCAACCCCAAGAATTATCAACGGAGTGGATGCCGRAGAAGGCGAGTTTCCCTATTTTGCCYTTTTGCGTATTTTGCTTAATGGCGTGTTAATGGGTTGTGGTGGCTCGATCATTGCGCCCRATATGGTACTTACCGCAGCCCATTGCCTGAAGGGAGTGGATGCTGTGGAAGTTCTTGTAGGGATCAACGGTAAAAACGTGGTAAAAGACCCTAACGATGTAAACGTGATTACTCGAACCTGCGAAACATGGGTTTTGCACCCAGAGYATGTCAGTGATAAAGATTCGAAAGAATTCACTGCCAATGACTACGCTCTCTGTAAGCTCAGCGAACCTCTCATCATCGACGAGTCATATATCAGGTTGGAACTGAATAGTGATGATTCCTTTCCAGTTGCTGGGACAGAGCTTATTGCCTTTGGACTGGGTGTCGYGGACCATTCCTATAGTAAAACTGATGTTTTGCAAAATGCTACTCTTACATCTGCTAGTACTGAAACCTGCAGAAAACAGCTTTTTGAAGCTTTAATGGAAAATTACTTGTATGACCTCGGAACTACTGACCCTGAAGATAAAGAACAAATTTCAGAGCTTATTGATGTCACGTTTGAGTTAATTTCTGATAAGGAGGCCGACGAGTTCTTTAATCCAAAGGTACRGTTATGTATCGACACCAGCAATGGAAATGAGTCAGCAGTTTGCCGCGGTGACTCGGGTGGTCCGCTTGTGAAACRAATTTATCAGGGCAACGGATCCTTTGTTGATATCCAAGTCGGTATTACTTCCACTGSAATTGATGCCGAATCTTCGGATAAACTTTGTGTTGCTCATAATACTTTCGCCCGAGTCAGCGGGCAAATAGACTGGATCACGTCCACTGCCTGCGACACATTGAACAGTGTCGGAACAATGTGCCAAAATAACAAGAAAACAAAAGCACCAAAGCACACCAAGGCTCCAAAACGCACCAAGGCTCCAAAGACTTAAGGATTACGGTATTCGATTGGAAAGCCYGTAGAATTTAGTGGTGACAATACTACAAAACCCACTGATTGCAGAAGTTTGGGTTGTAACCACGGATTCKGGGGGAGAGAGGAAATGAGAAAAAATGACAACTGTTACTACATATATTGTCAACAACTTGACAACATTGCGCTTGTACCTGGAGGGAGTGATGGGATTCGTTGGTCCTGTAGTTGATCCAGTTGTTGAGGTGTAATAGTGGTGCCAGTAGTCTCAGTACTAGGAAATTAGTAGCATCATATATGTGTTTTTGGAATCGATTTCGATTTGCATTTCGATTTTATTCCATCTTATTATCAGTGTCCGGATATGGATTTCGTTTCGCCGATTCGAAAAATGAGCTCGGAAAGCTCCGAATTGGAAAATATCTCGACATGAAAGAGGGTTTTTACTAGTGTTGTGTAACGTAACGTTTTGTGTAAAACGTTACGTTCCTAAAAACGTTACAAACCAAAACGTTTGTTAGAACGTTAGAAAAACGTTAGTGTGRAAAAAAAACTAAACGTTCCCGAAAAAATTTCTGAGCGTTAGTAACGCTAGCGTTAGTAAACATTTGAAACGTTCCTAACGCTGAAATCTATTGGAAAGCTGAGACAACAGTTCAAACATCTTTATTCACTATTACTTATTTACCAATTACTATGATATGTATCCAATTAGTTTTTACTGTATCTGTCAGGCTGTTTCGGTCAGGGGTCATAAATTTAGACTCTGGTTTCTGTTGTTGGTCGAATTTGTTCTTGACGTAGAGCTGTGTAGAAAACCTACGAGTACGTACTAGAAAAAAGCTGTTTTGCAATCTCAAGCACCGAACGTGTCAGAAGTACCGTACGTACTGTGAGCCTAAATCACGAGTGAATAGTGAATAAGCTCACTCTTTATTGTACCGTGAGTACGTATTGTAAAGTAGAAGTACTTCTAGTAGAAGTAGAACTACGTCATGAATCTTAAACAGTACTCGTTGCACTCGTACGACTCATTGGATTTATTGTTTGTTTCAGAAACAACAGACATAAAGAAGGCATTTTGGGTCATTTTCATGATAATGATGCCAGCCGTCCGAGCGAACCGATGCTATGACACAAATTTGACACCCGGCAGGCAGGCAGCACGTTAGATAAATACGTACTTCTAGTAGAGTACGAGTACTTCACCGATGCAGTACCTGGGTCCTGACAGAACTAGTATGAACCAATTCTACGAACTGAGCACTACAGTCACAAGTAATGCAGCGCGAAAGCATCCTGTGGCAAGGCATCGTCTGCAAGGCACGGAACACCGCAGCACCATTTCCTTCGTCAAAGATACTGGATCAAAGGCCGACGCGTTTGATCCACCTTCGATTGGTCGGGAGATAAAATACCAAGAAGCGCAACACAATACCGTAGCAATCTGATTCCGAACACGGCGGGACTTGTCCATCATGGTGACCGTAGCGGAACTCRTCAAGGCGGAGGAAAGCCGCGTGAAGGAGCACAAAGCAACCCACACCTTCGAAAGACCATCCAAAATTCGTTCGCGCAGCCGTAGCAACAATAGCAACAGCAGCAGTGCCAGCGTCAACATGGCCGGAGAAGTGGTGGAGTCGCCTCAATCCCCAAACGGCAACGSCAACGCCAACGCCGAAACCTTTCCCAAAAAACACGCCAGAGAAAACGGCAGCTCCAAAGAGGCCAAGACGAGTGCAAAAAAGAATGCCAAGAAGAAGGGCCGAAAGAAAGTGAACCGAAAGCACATTTATCGAACCAGCAACGGACCAAAATCCGCCAACCCAGGCTCTGGCTTTTCGTTCTGTGACCACTACTCGACCGGTGCATCCACCGACCTCCGATTCCGGGGCAAGGCCCAGGGCAGGAAGCAGCTCCACGTCATCGACGACGTAGGGAGGGACCAGCAGCTGCTGCTCCTGGTGGACAAGCCGGGGAAAAAGGCCGGAAGCAAGCAGCTGCAGGTACAGGCCCGGGTCCAGTTCACCGGGACCTTCGGAACGGGCCTCCTGAAAACCGTCTGCACGCTGGTATCGTTTTTCGTCATGACGGCCCTCTGTGCCTTCARCATCCAGTGCCTGCTGTTCTTGTTCATGAACGTCGTTGCTACATACACGCCCTCGACATGGACGGCCGATCCGCCGGTCTGGAACATCGTCGGTTGCATCCTGGCCTGCCCGCTCCTGCTGGTCTCGCTCGGGTCGCTCATGGCCATGAGCTGGGCCTGCACGGTCGATTGCTGGAGGGGGCTGGGCTCGCACCATGCCTCGCTCCTGAAGGCGACCCAGTTCTGGCCGAGCCACAACCGCGGCCAGCAAAAAGCGCAGTTCTCGCCGAGCCGGAACGGCAACGGCAAAAAAAAGGCGACGTGGAGAAGCCCCGAGGCCGATCGACGGCAGTGGCTGGTCCTCGTGGTGTTTTTGGGAATCCCGCTGCTGGTCCTCGGGATCACCGCGTTGGTGGATCGCAGCCGCGACGACTTTGACGGCTACGACTGGTGGGGCATGACCTTGCAGTCCTGGGCCGGGAGTGCCTTTGTGTTTCAGATCCTGTACATTGAACTCTGYGTCTGGAACGAGCTGACGGTGTGCTACCGGATGCTGCAARTATACGGTGCGGACGTGTCCGGTGCAAGCGAAAACAGAGACTCCTATCCCGAGTTTCTCGGCCTCATCGCCCAGAACATCGTGCTGACCCAGCGCCAAAAGTACTCGGCCGTGCGCAGAAAGCGATACCTGCTGGAAGGGGGGTACGGACCGGAGCGCTTCTACGCCAACTCGACGTCGTTTTCGGACGACGCAACCAAGGCACCGGCCCAGATCCATTGCTCGCTCCGAACCGGYCTGCTGCTCCTTTGTGGCGGAGGATGGTTCTACGATTTGCTCCGGGACGATCGTACCCTGCTGGAAGATGGCACCGTCATTCCTTCGAAACGAAACTTCACCATTCCCGAGGTTTTCGGAAGCGTCCAGATCTACACAAAGAACAACTGGAGCCTCGCCCGCCTGTGGTGTCTCAATCCGAGAAAGGCTACGTCCCTGTTTGTCGTCAAGGGTGCGTTGCGTCGGAGCCGTCTTTGTTTCGAAGGTGTTCGCAATCCGATTGGATTTGATCAATGCATGACATGCGTCTCGTTGCTTTCTTTCGTTTGCAACGCTCACATCACTTGTTTGCTGGACTGTAATGTTCCGGTTGTTATTGTTTGTTTCATTTGTATTTTATCACTTTTTTTCTCTTYACAGGAGAGGGTAGCGTTGAGAAATTTCAGGTTAATACAGCCTATATTTGCTATGCTTTGTTCATGTTTCTGACCTTGTTAGTAATAGGGGCAGTTTCGACTTGGCTGGAAAACCCCGCGGGCCAAACGGCCGTGATTGTTCTCCTCGTCTTGCTAATATGCTTTGTTCCCATGATTCGATCGGCTTGCAAAATTCGACAGTACGAAATGAACCAGCGAATGAACGATGGAAACGGAGATGGCCACGACGAAGAAAGGAAGTACCATGATGAAAACGAAGACGGCGACGAGGGCTGCTCCGAGACCTTTGTTTCGGTCTGGGAAACCGTGCGGGTCTCGGAACTCAAGGTCTGGGCATGCTATGCAACGGCCGGGATGGAAATCATCCTTTTCTTCCTGTGGCCATTGATCAGCATGTTTGTCTTCGAGAACACACCGTTGGCGGTCATCTTTTTAGTTTTCGGGCTCCACACCATCCCGAGGCATTATTTCAACGTGAGCAATCTCTTGCAAGAGCTCGGTTCCTTGGACAAACTCGACCTGGGCGGCGTCGATCTGGCCCTGCTCTCGTGCGGTCAACACGACAGCAGCGACAGTGACAGTGACAACGACAACGAGAGCGAGGAGGCCGAAAACCGGGTGGCAGGAAAATTCCGAGAGAAGCGCGACGTAAAGAACAAACTTTTGATCTCGAACCTTGTTCGGCGGGTAACTCGAAGCAGAGCAAATAGGAATTGGATGTAAGTATGTCGCAAGCCCTRTCTGGGAACAGCGAGTGCCTCCGCGCGTGAACTTTCGAACAAGAAACCACTTGCCATGGCGATGATGCTTTTTCTTCATTCGCGATTGATCATTCGCACTGGATGCTGTTGTTCGGTCTGTTCTCTTCTTTCGCATCTCACACACTTTCTTTCGGTTCTCTGTTGAATTCTACCCATTGAAGTGGACTGTTTTTCTTCTACTTCCTGGTCTTTTTCAGTGGATATTATCTATCCGTAAGCGAAGAAATGTTTTCTTATGAAATGGGCCGGTACAAATGGAAAAACGTTGTGTATGCGAACGACTTTTCTTGGGATCCGCAACCCAACCTGCCCTACCCGACTTGCGAGGTGAAGAAGGGTTTCACCTTTCCCGGAGAGGAGGGGACCGCGTCGCTGGCAAACTATGCGTTTTTGTCCACTCTTACGTTCTCGAGTGCCGAAGAGGCCCAGCCCCTCCTCGATCAATGGTTCGGAAACGGAACCGTTCTAGACGATACCGACTACGTGGAAGCCTACCGGCAGGCGACGGGAACGGAAGACCACCCCGTGACGTACAAGCTGTTCGTCTTTCCGAGCGACCCGACCGCCGGAATCGTCGGCATCCGCGGAAGCGAGATGATGTGGGATTGGATGACAGACATGCAGCTGTGGTCGGGGGGTATTTTCGCCCAGGCGATCCTGAGCATCAACCCCCTCGGGAACATCTGGGAGCCGATCATGGACAAGTTGGTGTACCTGATCAACTACCCCCAGAGCGAGAAGCTCAAGGAAGTCTCCTATTACCGGTTCACGTCCGAATTCGTCGAGGCCCTGTACAGCGGGTACGGCGGGCGGCAGTACGAAAGCCTGAGGGTGACCGGGGCCTCCCTGGGCGGGGGACTGGCGATCCTGACGGGGGCCATCACCGGAGCTTCGGCGATTGCCTTTTCGGGCCTGAACGCCATGTACTCCCGCCGGACCTTTTTGCCCCCCATCACCGAGGAGCAGCTCAACACGCGGGTCTTCAACACGATTCCCGAGCGAGACATTATCGCCCACATCGACAAGGTACGTCGCGCGAACCGGCCGGCCCACCAAATCGAAGCGCCAAGTCGGAATCGTTCGCATCGATTCGCTCGCCAAAGAACATTCGATTTGCTGTTGTCGGTGTTTTGTTTTTCTAATTGCCACGATTCCATTGCAAATTTGTTTCGCGTTTCGCGTTCCGTTTTTTTTTCACCACTACCACAGCCCGGCATGAACTACCAGCGAATGCAGTGCAACGCGCCGAAAAACTCTCTCTTTGGCTGCCACAGCATGTTCCGCAGCCTCTGCSAAATCCAGTTCCAGTGCGGGTCGCAGGGCCGTCCCATCAACTGCTGGTGCGTGAGCAACTACGGATACCCGGTTCCGACCCAGCTCGGAAACAAAACGTGGGAAGAAAYGTGCGCCAGGTCCTCGCCCCCTCCTTCCTAGGAAAAAGAACAATCGGGAAGCGGGTTTCGTTTGTACTGGTCAATGGAAAATGAATTTTCTATGGGTTTATCGATTCGAACGAGCCGAAGAGTTGCCGAAAGCAACACGGCGGTCGATCGAATGGACGCTTTTGGATGCGTTTGTGTCTACAGTATGTTTGTCGGGTTGTACGACCGTCGCCGATCGTCCTCTTGCGACAAAAATTGTGTTCCAGTGAGTCAACATACATAAAAATAGTGTGCAGCAGCAACAACAAAAAACAAGCTACGAGCTCTTCTAGATTTCGATCGCCCGCGTCTGCTTGCGTTTGCGTTTGCCTTTGCGTTTGCTGTGGTTCGTCCTTCCCGGGCACCGAACCGTGCCGCGGGAGGAACGCCGTTTGTCTTTGTGCTACCATTTCACGCAACCGACGCGAAGACACCGAGCGGATCGCAGTGGCACCGCGATGGTCGATCGGGAATCCTTCTTGTTCTAGTGGTTGGAACAGTTGTTTCAACTCTGGATGGGTGTTGGGGTTCGTTGGGAATCCCACGCATTCGGTTTCGTCCTCGGTGGTAACAGTAGCCACCGATTTTGGTTGTTTGTTGCGATTTTGGATTTTGGTTTTGAATTTGTTCCGTCGGACGACTAATTCGATCGGGATGGTAGTTTGTTTGTTTTACGATTCAGGACCGCATCATACCTACATACGATACTATCGTTATCTACATACTATCATACAATTACCGTATCTGTTCCGTTTCGGTTTCTTCAAATTCAAAATCAGAATGTGGATCTTTTTCGTCAACACTGCAATCCTGTACGAAGGGTATCGTACCGTGCGTSCCGTAGAGTACGGGTACTCGCACGTATKCCAGGGCACGAATTCGTACGTACTCGTATTCTCTCCGACAACTCCGAAACATACCGATCGAGAGAGAGCAACCAAGAGGAAGACACTCATGGTATTGATCCGATAAGATCAAACGAACAAGCAGTCGAACAAGCAAAGAGCAAGCTCTTGTAACCGAGACGAGAAACAAAAACGAACAAACGGAGAAACAAACAACCCAGGAAGAAGAACAAAACAAAACACAATCACCGTAGAACACAAAAAAACTCCCCGCTCACTACAATGATGCAAATGCCCGTGGCGGCGGTGATGGCGACGGTGCTTGTCCTGCTGGCGTCTTCCGACCCGTCCGCGATCCTGCGCACCGACGCCTTTGGAACGGGCCGACCGGTGCAAAGACACAGACACAGGCACGAGACGAACCGCCTCCCCGCAACCCACGCCAGCACCGCTGGCGGGAACCCCCGGTGCCGGGGGGTCCCGGGAACAAAAGCACTCGCCCAATCCTCCACCGCGCTCGGGGCCGGCCTCTTTGGCGGGATCTTTGGGGGCGGGGGCGGGGGCAGCGCCCCCACCGGCGGCGACGAGCACGGCAACGGCGCGGTCCTGGCGGAGTACGGGGTCGGGCTGCCCGGCGGGGACAACGCCCTCTTGCAGCAAAAGCTCGAGAGCCTCTCCTCCTTTGTCACCAAGGAGTGGGCGGGCCTCTTTGCCAGCGGGGGCATCACGCTGACGACCCCGGTCAAGGTCTCGAGGAGCGGCGGCCCTGCCGGGGAAGGGGGGGCCGTTTGCCGGCTKGTCTTTGAGAAGGTCGACACCGGGTACGGGGACAAGGACAAAGACGACGGGAACGAGAACGAGAACACCACCAAGAACGAGAAAAAGGAGCAAGCCAAGCAGGGAGGGGTCGAGGTATCGGTCCTGCCGCCCGGAGAGGGAAGGACCACCGCAACCGTGAGGGTGACCCGGTGCGAGATGGACGGCAACACGATGGTCAAGGAAATGAGCGAGGAACGGATCCTCCGGGAGCTCCGGGACGCGATCGCGGTCTGGGAGAAGGAAAGCGCGCTCTAGCAGCACAGCGAGAAAGCAGAGGGGCAGCGCACGAAACAATGCTGGTGGCAAACGATCGAGTGGTCTTGCGTTGCTTCGTGTTGCTTTGTGTTATGGTGTGGTGTGGTGTGTTGCGTTGTGTTGTGTTGTGTTGTGTTGTGCCGTGAGCAAGGAACGGATCCGATCGGATCGGATCTCGTGGCATTGCATGTGCTGCTAGCAATGGGATTGGCATCAAGAGACGAGAAGAAACAACGAAGAAGGAAAGGCATGGTCTGCTTTGCCGATGCACCGTGAGAACGCCGTCTCGGCCCTTGGAAATTGCTAGTGGTTCGGTATCTCTCTCGAACTGGAATCGAACACTAGGAAACCACAAGCAACGTCTCGGTACAGTAGCAGGCACCATACCCTCTATGCGTTGCCGGAACTTGTTTCATCGGAACCGCATCTCGACAGAATCATGCTTCAAATCAATAATAATAGTAATACTTGTAGGTATGATAGTACCAGTACCTACTCAATGTTCCTAAGAGGATGCAATATGCAACATGCAATCTTGATGCTAAACCTCTTCCTCTGTCTACTGGACTATTGGAGTATGATCTCGTATACGTACGTATGCAGCATATGTGGGGCATGGCGTATGCAATATCGAAATAAGAAATAACGTTGTAGTAGTAGTATGCAGAGCGGAACGACTGATGCATATGTGAGGGTTATTTTTAGAGCGCGCCGATGTTGTTCGATTCGGGTTCTCCCCCCTTAACGATGCAAGACCCCCGCAGCAGTACGGTGCCGGGATTTCGTAACAAACTCGAACCTAGTACAAAAATCTCCGTAATCCCTACGAGGAGTGACACCRTTTGTGGCGAAACGCGATGGTGATTGAGGTTTGTTCTTAGATCTTAGATACGGTAGGTTGTTGCAGGTTGAGGATACGTACCTACTCGTACGAGCACGAGTAGCGAATTTTCTACACGCTGCATGTTCGGATTCATTCCCCCTAGGGTGACTGTGACCCGAACTGAACACGACACGAACGGAACCCCGAAAGACCGATTGTATCGTAATTGGCAGGGAAAATACTTGCAACAGAACAGAACATTTGTGTTGTACTACTCGTAGTACCGTTTCGTACCGGTATGTAACGTACGGTGCCGTGCCACAGAACAGAACGTCACCGATGGCGGATTGTGTTTGCTCCGATCCACTCGCACAACAGTAAAGACACAAGTGCAAAGACACAAGTGCAAAGACACAAGTGTAAGGATTGTCCCATAAAAACAACCGAGGTTTGTTCACACTCGCAAACAACACACGGTACTTGTTCCAAATCACAAGAAGCAGGATACCAGGATACCGCACAAAACCATTGCGGTGCGACAGACAAAACGACAGACACCAAGCAAGCAAGCAACCAAGCAACCAAGCAACCAAGCAGGCATCTACCATAGATTCGGCCATGAAGAAACGCGTTGCTCGGCTGCCACTGCTCCCACCAGGGACTGCAGCTGCGGCCCTCTTCCTCTCGGCGGTGTGCTGCTCGTTGGCTCCCGTTTCCGGATTCGCATCGCTGACCCCGTTTGCGCCAAAGGTCCCATCGCCGGCGGCTGCAGTTGTGGCACCAACACCGATGCAAATTCCAACACCGGCAGCCAGCGCCAGAGAACGCGCGTCCCGCCTGTTTTCTTCGGAACCCGAAACCGAAGCGGAAGCCACGGAAGGCAACAAGGGCGAGCGCGGCCGCCGCATGGATCCCTACATCGAGATCCAGTACGAGTCCTACTTTGACGGAACCCGGCCGGATTCCTCCTGGAACCTGGCGTGGAACAACTTTCTCCGGCAGGGAAGCTCCCTGGTGGGCCAGGGGCTCGAGCGGCTCGGMCTYGGGGTCGATGCGGAGGAGGTCTCCCTCCGGCCCCCGAACTGCCTCGGCCTCGTCCTCTCCAACGCCGCCGTGGCGGAGGCCGAGGCCCTCCGGGAGGCTTCCGGGGGGGGGATCGAGGCCCACCCGGTCAGCCGGGCCCTCTACGACCTCGGGTGCCTCCTGCTGGACCGTCTCTTCGACGGCCGGCCGATCCAGAGGTTCTGGTTCCTGGAAACCATTGCCCGGATCCCCTACTTTTCCTACGTTTCGATGCTGCACCTGTACGAGAGCTTTGGGTGAGTGCGTGGTGTATGGTATGGTGTCGTGTGGTGTCGTGTGGTGTCGTGTGGTGTCGTGTGGTGTCGTGTGGTGTCGTGTGGTGTGGGTCGAGCGGGAGGGACTCGAGCGGGAAGCAGAGCAAGCCCGGTGGTTTGGATTGTGCAATTGTTGTTGTGGTGGTTGTTGTGGTTGTTGCTGCTTTTGGTTGTGCTTTTGCTTGAGTGGGTGGAACGGTTGCAGTTCTATCAAACCGAAAGTCTTTTTGGTGGCATCTACTAACACCGTGCATTCCGAACATCGCTCGCTCCGTGTTGTTTTGCAATGGCTCCCCATGGCTTCTTCCGCAGCTGGTTCCGTGCCGTGGAACTGCGAAAAGTCCATGCGGCGGAAGGTACGAGAAACAAGCGTGACCGAAACTGTCAAAGCTGCCAAGGGGAACTTGCGTTTCCTGCTGCTAATGATTGCGTCGCAGCTGTTGGCATGCCTCACCTCACCTCGACTCACCTCACCTCACCTCGACTCACCTCACCTCGACTCACCTCACCTCACCTCACCTCACCTCACCTGACGGGGAACCCACAAACCAAACCAAACCAAACCAGACTGGAACGAGCTCCACCACCTCCTCATCATGGAAAGCCTCGGGGGGAACGCCCGCTGGTCCGATCGCTTTCTRGGATACCACGTGGCCTTTGCCTATTACTGGTTCCTGATCGTCGTCTACCTGGGATCTCCCCGCATCGCCTACCAGTTCATGGAGCTCCTCGAGGCCCACGCGGTCGACACCTACTCGACCTTTGTCGAGGAAAACCGCGAGCGCCTGGCGATGCTCCCGGCACCGACCGTCGCGGTGAGCTACTACAAGTTCGAGGACCTCTACCTCTTTGACGATTTCATGACCTCCCGGGCGCCGGGGAGCCGGAGGCCTCCCTGCGACACGCTGCTGGACGTCTTTGAGAACATTGCCACCGACGAGGGCGAGCACGTCAAGACCATGCAGGCCTGCCAGGACTACGCCCGGTTCGGGACCCGGGTGGTCTCGCCCCACCTGCGGTTCGGGGTCGCACCGGACGGGACCCCCCTCTACCACGGCGAAAGCAGCGAACCGCAAGAGGGCGGCGGGGAACCGGCGGCGGAGGTCGACGCCGAGGCGCAGGCATACAAGCGCAAGATGTGGAAGGAGTGGAGCGAATCGATCAACCACCAGATCGAATCGGAATTGCAGGGGATGGACCGCGGCGACGAGCTGCGCATGTGAGGGAAACGGTATCGCACCGGACCGCAGCTCCGTACGTACCATTGCGTTGCGAACCCAAAAGGAGGAACAGCCCCGAGGATTTGCAATGGTATGCAATACAAAGAGACTTGGAGAATTTGCCGCGTGCCAAAGAAACAATTATGAATCGCACGCACCTAGCTCTGTTTAACGAATCCAATGACAACAATCGGACTTATGTGRTGTGTTCCGGTGTCTTACTCTACACTACATACGAACTGGTACACTGCCATAGTGGATCTACTTAAGTACAGCAACACACATCTTCCAACTGGCGTAGAACATCCATGCATCCATCCGCAATCAATAAAGTGCAAAGCAATAAAATGCGAATAGTTCTCTCTAGTCCGTGCTCTAGGTGTGCAATGCCGTTGCGTGTTCGAAGTACGAACCCGCTGAAAACCGATACGTGCTACCATACTTGTATCTCGCTTGCAATTTTTTTGTGGATCGCACAAGATGTTGTTTAAAGCAACGACATCGTAGATCATCATGCATCATTTCTAGTACCGTATGGTGACCAAAAAATGATCAAGTAATTTTGGAATTCTTCAATGATCACGTCTCGCAACGGAAGCGAACCGACAAGGACCTAGTCGCATGGAAGTTTCTAATAACATGCTCTGCATGTCGAAAGCTTCTTCGGAATACACCAGTAGTAGAAACTTGTTACCAGTACGTCATAAAAATTCATTAATAACAATGATTCTTAGTACGCGCACGTACTGGTACTTCTGAATTGAGCATAAAAATTTCAAGTCTCACAAAAAAAAAATTTTGCGAACCCTGCAGGGACATGCTCTTTGCGGTTCGAATCCATGGAAGTTCTCTTGCAGCAAAACTTCTTMTTTAGTACTTTGTGAATATTGCACAGATGCCTGCATGTGTGCAGCATGCATCCACCAGCCGACTCGTTATCTGCACATTATCTTCTTCTAGTGCTTCTGTTTTATTTCTGGTATTGAGGTAGTAGCTTTTGTGTCTGAACACGGACAACTTGAAAATGAAATACAGTAGATAGACAAATTATTTGTGCAACTTTTATACTATCAGTGTTTAGATATAGATTCAATTTTACATTTCCCCTGTTGGAAGAGCGCTCAAGATTCGACGMYGAGAAGACACAAAACGAAGTGCTGCTTCGTTCTTTTGTTTYGTTTGCTTCATACTTTCACTCTCGGATCACCGACTCTATACTCCAACCGTCCCCCCACGTTTTACATAATTGGAAACCGGTTCATATAGTAGCAGCATGTCCACACGGTTGCTGCTATGTACTTCCCATTGCTCAGGCCGTTGGTGCAGTAGATCGTGATTCAAACATCTCGAGGATGGTATTCCGTAGAGAATCGTCTAGCTGTATGCGCTGTGGTAGCCCCGTATTGTCGGTGGAGGTAGTAGCCATTAAATTGTGGTCGACGACTACCATCATGGTGGAAAGCAGTCGCCTGCGGTAGTGCTCATACGCAAAATTATTGTCGTTCCTTCTCAAGTGATTAAATTGGTACATTTGACAAATGTTGTTGAGTATTATGATTTCGAAGCGAATGCTTCGAAGAGGTGACGATTCTGTGGGCGCCGATGTAGTTCCGTCCTCCCTGATAAGAAGATTCTCGTAGACGAATCGATACGTAGAGAGAGCGAAATCAATTATTTTTGTTTCTTCCTTGGCTAAGTTGTTGGCGATTTTCACGGCCATATRGTGGCTCGCGAGTGCAAGGTTGTACATAATGATAGCGATTAGCGTTGACACTGTCGCATGCCCATGCCCACTGACTCGAATAGGTTTTCCAGAGATATTGCATCTATTTATAAGATCATCGMCCCTTTGAGTTGTGAGTTGGGACTGAATTACCAACGGTAGTTGGGATTGAGATCGAGAAACGCATGCGTCCAGAGTACAGTCTCTGCATTCGCTGAACGTTCTCATCACCGATTGATCTAGACGTTTTGAAATGTCAAGAGCTCTTGTCAGAGACGCGATAGCTCTTTTATAGAGTCCAATCTCGAGGCATGATGCAGCACTATTGTTCAGTTCCTCCGCCATTTGCTAGTGTTAGAATATAAAACGTGTAGAGTAGGGTTTAGTCCACGCAGAGCTGTCTGTGTAGCGATGATCACGTCATTGTTTCAAGAATGGACCTAATCTTCGACCATTGATGGTCTGTAATATCAAGCATGGATTTACTTATCAATTGGAAATCGACATTTCAGGCAACAGCATCGCGACAAGTTTACAAAATCATATATGACTTACATGGGCTCTGTTTGCGATACTGCAGTTCCCGTCCGGTTTTGCTTGTCTTATCGAATTCGATTCATTTGTCGGAACCATAGTCTGCCAATTCTTTGCGTCATTCAAAGTGTTTGCTAAATGAAGGTGATGTTCCATGGACCTTTGCTCAATGACAATTAGACCATTCGGAGACAAAGATTCTGTTTGGTAATGATGGACGGCAATTAGTGGAAAGCGGGCAGATTTTTCGTTCTACTCGAAGAAAACAATGAAAAGAAAAACTTGATCGATTGCAGTAACCGTACCAACGTGACACAGGTATKACAAGAAAGATGAGACAGGGACTTAAAGAGAAGAATGATATCTCCTTTCTCTTTTTATGATTTATTGTTMACGATACAAATAACCTTAGACATTTAGTATTAACATGCGATGCGTTGAYCTGGTGGGATCCAATCGGTCATAATAATATGCCTTTTGAAGAAGAGAACCATGAGAGTTCTTACGACGTTGAATATGGAATCACTATCATTTTTCAATTATTMTTCCCAACTTTTACTCAATCAACTTTGTAATTGYGGGTCTGATCGTTAATTTTTTTCCGATCCTCACTTACTGCAATTGACTCATCGATTATTGCAATTGTATTTCCATCTTWGCTTGGATACGATGTTGAGTTTTACTACAGCAGGAGAATACGTCACGAATCGTGTTATGTTCCTTGTTGCTCATAAACTGCAAATGTTAATAGGCTCCCTACTGCGTGTTAATACGTGGTTTACAATAGAAGAGTGAGGTTATTCACTAGCTACTCGGGATTTAGCCTCACAGAGGCATCGATGTGATTCATTGAGGTTCTTCTTTTGAAACAAAGTACTTCGTACGTACAGAAATAAGAATTCAATATTATTGATRACTGCCCGATTCAAGAACATGGGACTTCATTTCTTTTCGTTGGCGATTAGGCAGTTGCCAGTACTCGAAGAGAGAAAAATTAAGGGCATATCATCTTTTTTATCGTTGAAAAACGCTTCATAGAATGTCTTCTTCGGTGCAGAGACAAGTTGACCCTGATACGAAAAGTGACGTCGGTGGCACTTGGGCAATAACAATTACGTACTCTGACTTGGGTACTACGACCATCAGGATGAGAATACTAAGTACTGTACTTCGTAAGTGCCGAAGTACGTACCGGTACTAATTCCTCCGTTCCTAAGAAATAATGGTACGAGTACAGTTTGCACTAGTACTCTAATTTTTCGAAAATAATGGTACTGTGTGCTATGACCCTGTAGAATTTGTAGAATAAATCATTCAAGTACAGCGGTGTTATCATTCACTTTACTACTACTACTGTTAGTACAAATACCATTGCCACCAGCACCAGCATAGTAGTAGTAGTATTGGTAGTACTACTAGTACTAGTACTACTATTAGTAATTATGCATGCATCATTCTTACTACTACTAGTAGTATTAAAGAAGTTTGCCAGTACTTGTCCTGAATGTGCAAAGACAACAAGTTTGTTTGCTTCTTCTTCTTGATCACAGCAACAGCAAGAAGAAGTAACTGACCTAGACCAGCAAGCTTTGCTTTCCCCTTGTGGTGAATTTATATGTGTTGTCTCCGCCAACAACAAGTGATTCCTCCATTGTACACTGCAGAGATAGTAGCTAGAAAGACATTGTTTAGGGTCTCACACTCCTCCTTCTTCTTGGCTTCTGCTGCAAATGCACCACCAATCACATTGGTGGCAATCAGCAAGGATGTGTCGTCCATATTACTAGAAGACTACTACTTCGTGTGCTGAGTGCTCTGGATAGAATTGAAAAATCCCAATCCAGAACATTGAAGCTGGTCGTGGTTGTTTGTGGCTTCACGACAATATTCCAATTGTTATTGTTGCATGCTGTAGTAGTAGCTGTTGTGGTCATTACAGCTCCTGCTGCTTTGCATTGTCTTCCTGCCTTTATGATACAACTTGGAAAATCTCCACCCATTGCCCCTTGGGAGTTTACCATAAATACCTAGTAGAACAATGTTCTCAATCATGAGGTTTATCCTGCTGTACACTTCTTCTTCATTGACATCATTAACACTAGTAGTAGGGTGGGGTTCCACTGTGCCCCTGTGGCAATTTAGAGAATATGATCTCTGAGCTGTTTTGTATTCTACAACAATAGGCCATATACCAAGCTTTCCATCAAATCAAGAAGCATTCTTACTTCTAGGATCAAATATGTGTCTTATTGCTGTTGTGTAATAAAAGCATTAGTACCTTCTTGATGTGCTACTTAAAAGTTTCTTGCAAACAACTGGTTCAAGCTGCAGCTCTTCATCAAGTAGATATGTGTTGTTTGTTACTTCCTTCATGAAGAACCACTTCTAGTCAACATGCACCTTGTCATAAATTGCTGGATCGAAGACCACACCATTGTCATCAATATGAGACAGAGCAAATCTTATCCTTTCCATTTTGTTTGCTTCTTTTTGGAAAGGCTTCAATGTACAGCTGTATCTCTTCTAGATTGTTCCAATCCAAACAAGACGGTTCAAGCTAGTGGTCACTGGAATATTGATTGCTGCTGATGTGGTCCATATTTCTCCTTTTTGCTTCTTGTAGCTATGGAATATTTGTGATTGATTCTTCAAGAAGAACTGAAAGACCCTTTGGCTTTCTTCCCTTTCTTGGCTTTATACCACACTTGGACCTGTTGCTTGACACATCACCAGCTGGGCATGTTTCATCATCCAAGTTCCATTAGAAACTTTGAATTCTTCAGCAGCAATCTTGTAGGTATCCTTAGCAAGTTTGCCATTCTGTTTCTGATGTAGAAGCAGTAGCTAGTACTATGCATAGAATAGCCTGTTTTTGATTGTTATTCAAATTGTGTCATGTGGGGAGTTACAATAGTCATTGCAGAAGCAGGAGCCAACTTGCTTGACTCAAGGAGATCTCTTGCATCTGTTACTGTAGCCATCTTCTTTGTTGGTGTAAGTGAGGGAATGAAAGAATGATACAAGCAGCAAGAGGAACAGCATTTGAAGCAAAGAGATGATCCATTGCAAGGCAAGTTGTTGATGAAGCAATCCCACTCTTATTGGGGGAAACTGAGGCACAAGGCAAGTCAATGAAGCCCTCCCCCCTCTTAGGGGAGTCCCAAGACGAGGAGTTGGTGGATGTCATTCTTTGCAGAGGCACATCAAAGCAAGTCAATGAATTCCCCCCTGGAGCACACCAGCTGATGGATCCCCTATCAGTGCAGTCAAGGTGTTCCCTATGGTGAATGGAAGTAACTTAGGCACGGATCAATGGATCCCCTCCTACTATTAGCAAGTGCCAGCAAGCCAATGGATCCTCTAATATCAGACMACTATGAACACTGAGTCACTTGAGGTGCAAAGAAGGCTTGAAGTGTTGGTCTTACTAGTCAGTTGAATGGAAAGAAGAAAATGAGAATAGCAAGGAAGAGGGGAAATCAGGAGGTGCAGTGATATCAAGAGGGGGTGCAGTGAAATCAATAGTGAAATTATCATGTGGAAATAACACAGGAGGACATGCATACAGGATTTTTTCTCTTTGCTTTTCTCTCCAGCTCCAAAACCAACAAACCCACATGAAAACTGCATGCACCCAAACTGCATGCACCCAAGCAGTTTTTTGCCCTCTCAAATAATTAACAATGACAGCACAGTAACATTTTCCATGAGTTTAATAAGATTATCATGATAAATCTCTCAGTCTTAGCTTTCTTATATAGCTGTAACTTGCATCCTTAATTGACCAGTAGTGCCCCACTGATAGCAAAATCGCATTCATACGCCAAAATGGGCTCTATTTTAGACACTTTCACTTAACACAATCTTCACTACTGAATACATTTCCAATATATCTGTTAAACATAAAAAGAAGCAGCCAAATCCCCAAATATTCAGCTAAATCCAACCTGCTGAGAGATGCAAACTGTACCATTATCTTGGTTTACTTTTTTTTTGTTATGAACATTAAGAACTTCATAGAATACTTCTACAACTACTAGAAGTATGTAGTAACAGGTACAGGCAGTAYCAGAAATACAACAAGATTCCAATTGATTGTGGTGAAGAAAGAACAACTTGCTTTTGACTGAAAATATAGGAGGTGGTGCAGAGCAGGAGAGGTGCTGTTGGCTGTTGCATTTGTGCTGTGTGAAGAAGAACAGGGAGGGGTGAATAATTACTAGTAGTAGTACTAGTAGTACTAACTCCACCCAACATTAATAGTACACTTCACACTTCTTTAGTTGGATTMAGCTCAATATTGGAGTGTTTTGACTGCTTCTCTTTACATTGCCCTAATCTAATAGTGTACATCTTTAATAATTGTGTTTAGTAGTTTATGTCATCACTGTACTCTTTGTAGCAATTCTAATAGGCTGTGATTTCACTGTCAGTTAGGCTGGTCATTTAAAGACCTGATGTTCAGCTCGAACAAGCTAAGATTGCTGAGGGCTTTATCATCATATTCTTATTGTACCTATTGGTTAGAATGTTCCTGTGCAGACATAGTGTGGGTTGGGGTTGGTGTAGTACAGTTTTTATGTGAGATGAATAGTTTAGGCCAGCTCAAGCATACTAGTAGAACTTATTCTACATATTCTAGAGCAGGGTCATCACAAGCACTGGACAATTATTTCTGAAAAAATAGACCAGTACATAGTAGCTACTACTATCAGCCAGTTGTAGTCCACTAGCAGTATTAGTAGTACTACTATGTGTCACATGGTAGTACTAGTGCAACAACTCCACTACTACTACTACTAATATCAACAGGGACATGGTAGTACTACTGATCCAACAAATCCACTACTTCTAGTATTACTAGTAGTAATATCAACATCACTACTAGTAATAGTACTAGAACCAGAAAATTTGCTAACATAGCAGTTGGTTCTTTACCAACCCCAAGCCCATTTTTTCCAACTGAACTTCCTTTAGTCAGCCTCGTGACAACCATATCTTCACATGATGGCGAAATATTGATCCTTACTGAAAATATCTCAGTGTAGGTGCAAGAGCAAAGTTGTATGACAATGAGATTGCAAGTTCGGTTTCTACTTGGCTGATTTTTCTTCAACTTCACGGTGTCCGAGAGACTTGGCAGACAGACTCCTGATAATTACTGTAAAAGATTGTATAGTCGATTGGTAGCTTCGTATGCATCTCTAGTTTGGTAGCTTCAAATGCTTTCCGAAAGATAAGTCATTCCCACCGGCTCCTTCCCGACGTTATGAATGTTCATACCGTTCTGTGTGGATCGCTTTTTGTCGTGGTCGGTTTGTTGAATGGTTTTGTCCCGTATGCGACCCCNCTTGGGCAATAACAATTACGTACTCTGACTTGGGTACTACGACCATCAGGATGAGAATACTAAGTACTGTACTTCGTAAGTGCCGAAGTACGTACCGGTACTAATTCCTCCGTTCCTAAGAAATAATGGTACGAGTACAGTTTGCACTAGTACTCTAATTTTTCGAAAATAATGGTACTGTGTGCTATGACCCTGTAGAATTTGTAGAATAAATCATTCAAGTACAGCGGTGTTATCATTCACTTTACTACTACTACTGTTAGTACAAATACCATTGCCACCAGCACCAGCATAGTAGTAGTAGTATTGGTAGTACTACTAGTACTAGTACTACTATTAGTAATTATGCATGCATCATTCTTACTACTACTAGTAGTATTAAAGAAGTTTGCCAGTACTTGTCCTGAATGTGCAAAGACAACAAGTTTGTTTGCTTCTTCTTCTTGATCACAGCAACAGCAAGAAGAAGTAACTGACCTAGACCAGCAAGCTTTGCTTTCCCCTTGTGGTGAATTTTATATGTGTTGTCTCCGCCAACAACAAGTGATTCCTCCATTGTACACTGCAGAGATAGTAGCTAGAAAGACATTGTTTAGGGTCTCACACTCCTCCTTCTTCTTGGCTTCTGCTGCAAATGCACCACCAATCACATTGGTGGCTGATGTGGCAATCAGCAAGGATGTGTCGTCCATATTACTAGAAGACTACTACTTCGTGTGCTGAGTGCTCTGGATAGAATTGAAAAATCCCAAATCCAGAACATTGAAGCTGGTCGTGGTTGTTTGTGGCTTCACGACAATATTCCAATTGTTATTGTTGCATGCTGTAGTAGTAGCTGTTGTGGTCATTACAGCTCCTGCTGCTTTGCATTGTCTTCCTGCCTTCTTTATGATACAACTTGGAAAATCTCCACCCATTGCCCCTTGGGAGTTTACCATAAATACCTAGTAGAACAATGTTCTCAATCATGAGGTTTATCCTGCTGTACACTTCTTCTTCATTGACATCATTAACACTAGTAGTAGGGTGGGGTTCCACTGTGCCCCTGTGGCAATTTAGAGAATATGATCTCTGAGCTGTTTTGTATTCTACAACAATAGGCCATATACCAAGCTTTCCATCAAATCAAGAAGCATTCTTACTTCTAGGATCAAATATGTGTCTTATTGCTGTTGTGTAATAAAAGCATTAGTACCTTCTTGATGTGCTACTTAAAAGTTTCTTGCAAACAACTGGTTCAAGCTGCAGCTCTTCATCAAGTAGATATGTGTTGTTTGTTACTTCCTTCATGAAGAACCACTTCTAGTCAACATGCACCTTGTCATAAATTGCTGGATCGAAGACCACACCATTGTCATCAATATGAGACAGAGCAAATCTTATCCTTTCCATTTTGTTTGCTTCTTTTTGGAAAGGCTTCAATGTACAGCTGTATCTCTTCTAGATTGTTCCAATCCAAACAAGACGGTTCAAGCTAGTGGTCACTGGAATATTGATTGCTGCTGATGTGGTCCATATTTCTCCTTTTTGCTTCTTGTAGCTATGGAATATTTGTGATTGATTCTTCAAGAAGAACTGAAAGACCCTTTGGCTTTCTTCCCTTTCTTGGCTTTATACCACACTTGGACCTGTTGCTTGACACATCACCAGCTGGGCATGTTTCATCATCCAAGTTCCATTAGAAACTTTGAATTCTTCAGCAGCAATCTTGTAGGTATCCTTAGCAAGTTTGCCATTCTGTTTCTGATGTAGAAGCAGTAGCTAGTACTATGCATAGAATAGCCTGTTTTTGATTGTTATTCAAATTGTGTCATGTGGGGAGTTACAATAGTCATTGCAGAAGCAGGAGCCAACTTGCTTGACTCAAGGAGATCTCTTGCATCTGTTACTGTAGCCATCTTCTTTGTTGGTGTAAGTGAGGGAATGAAAGAATGATACAAGCAGCAAGAGGAACAGCATTTGAAGCAAAGAGATGATCCATTGCAAGGCAAGTTGTTGATGAAGCAATCCCACTCTTATTGGGGGAAACTGAGGCACAAGGCAAGTCAATGAAGCCCTCCCCCCTCTTAGGGGAGTCCCAAGACGAGGAGTTGGTGGATGTCATTCTTTGCAGAGGCACATCAAAGCAAGTCAATGAATTCCCCCCTGGAGCACACCAGCTGATGGATCCCCTATCAGTGCAGTCAAGGTGTTCCCTATGGTGAATGGAAGTAACTTAGGCACGGATCAATGGATCCCCTCCTACTATTAGCAAGTGCCAGCAAGCCAATGGATCCTCTAATATCAGACMACTATGAACACTGAGTCACTTGAGGTGCAAAGAAGGCTTGAAGTGTTGGTCTTACTAGTCAGTTGAATGGAAAGAAGAAAATGAGAATAGCAAGGAAGAGAGGAAATCAGGAGGTGCAGTGATATCAAGAGGGGGTGCAGTGAAATCAATAGTGAAATTATCATGTGGAAATAACACAGGAGGACATGCATACAKGATTTTTTCTCTTTGCTTTTCTCTCCAGCTCCAAAACCAACAAACCCACATGAAAACTGCATGCACCCAAACTGCATGCACCCAAGCAGTTTTTTGCCCTCTCAAATAATTAACAATGACAGCACAGTAACATTTTCCATGAGTTTAATAAGATTATCATGATAAATCTCTCAGTCTTAGCTTTCTTATATAGCTGTAACTTGCATCCTTAATTGACCAGTAGTGCCCCACTGATAGCAAAATCGCATTCATACGCCAAAATGGGCTCTATTTTAGACACTTTCACTTAACACAATCTTCACTACTGAATACATTTCCAATATATCTGTTAAACATAAAAAGAAGCAGCCAAATCCCCAAATATTCAGCTAAATCCAACCTGCTGAGAGATGCAAACTGTACCATTATCTTGGTTTACTTTTTTTTTGTTATGAACATTAAGAACTTCATAGAATACTTCTACAACTACTAGAAGTATGTAGTAACAGGTACAGGCAGTAYCAGAAATACAACAAGATTCCAATTGATTGTGGTGAAGAAAGAACAACTTGCTTTTGACTGAAAATATAGGAGGTGGTGCAGAGCAGGAGAGGTGCTGTTGGCTGTTGCATTTGTGCTGTGTGAAGAAGAACAGGGAGGGGTGAATAATTACTAGTAGTAGTACTAGTAGTACTAACTCCACCCAACATTAATAGTACACTTCACACTTCTTTAGTTGGATTMAGCTCAATATTGGAGTGTTTTGACTGCTTCTCTTTACATTGCCCTAATCTAATAGTGTACATCTTTAATAATTGTGTTTAGTAGTTTATGTCATCACTGTACTCTTTGTAGCAATTCTAATAGGCTGTGATTTCACTGTCAGTTAGGCTGGTCATTTAAAGACCTGATGTTCAGCTCGAACAAGCTAAGATTGCTGAGGGCTTTATCATCATATTCTTATTGTACCTATTGGTTAGAATGTTCCTGTGCAGACATAGTGTGGGTTGGGGTTGGTGTAGTACAGTTTTTATGTGAGATGAATAGTTTAGGCCAGCTCAAGCATACTAGTAGAACTTATTCTACATATTCTAGAGCAGGGTCATCACAAGCACTGGACAATTATTTCTGAAAAAATAGACCAGTACATAGTAGCTACTACTATCAGCCAGTTGTAGTCCACTAGCAGTATTAGTAGTACTACTATGTGTCACATGGTAGTACTAGTGCAACAACTCCACTACTACTACTACTACTACTACTACTACTAATATCAACAGGGACATGGTAGTACTACTGATGCAACAAATCCACTACTTCTAGTATTACTAGTAGTAATATCAACATCACTACTAGTAATAGTACTAGAACCAGAAAATTTGCTAACATAGCAGTTGGTTCTTTACCAACCCCAAGCCCATTTTTTCCAACTGAACTTCCTTTAGTCAGCCTCGTGACAACCATATCTTCACATGATGGCGAAATATTGATCCTTACTGAAAATATCTCAGTGTAGGTGCAAGAGCAAAGTTGTATGACAATGAGATTGCAAGTTCGGTTTCTACTTGGCTGATTTTTCTTCAACTTCACGGTGTCCGAGAGACTTGGCAGACAGACTCCTGATAATTACTGTAAAAGATTGTATAGTCGATTGGTAGCTTCGTATGCATCTCTAGTTTGGTAGCTTCAAATGCTTTCCGAAAGATAAGTCATTCCCACCGGCTCCTTCCCGACGTTATGAATGTTCATACCGTTCTGTGTGGATCGCTTTTTGTCGTGGTCGGTTTGTTGAATGGTTTTGTCCCGTATGCGACCCCRTCTGTGAGTCCTGGTCCTAGCTGGAACGGTGGTGCCGATGTTGATGGCGGCGGCGATTCCCACGGGGCACAGCAAAACTGCCACAAAACAGAGGCAAGCAATCGAGACTACACCCGCCGAGATCCGGTACATAACTCTAGGGCCGTAGTAATCTTCGGCATATCCGCCGAGCACGAGACCGAGCACCGAACCTATGCCGACAAAGAATTGCAGGAAACCCTGCCCGGTGGCCTCCTTTCCGTCGTTCCCACAGCTGCGTTTGGGGTAGCTCTTGGTGCCCCTACTGCGATTGCTGTCAMYATTCTCGATTGTTTTGTGGCTTCCGAAACGATTATTGCCATTGTCAGGTGTATTTTTGCTTGGACAATCCATGTCACTTGAACTAAAGTCAAGCTTGGTCGACACGAAATCTACGGCMGCAGTCTGGCTGCTGGCGTACGTGACACCGTGCAAGGGTTCTAGTAACAGGGCCACCCACGCCATCTCKGCCGGGACCAGCGAGTAGCCGATCACCCGCACGACGTAAGACAGGGAAGCTACCACCAACAAAGCGTTGGTCCCTAGGGTTCGCAGCAACGTCGGAGCTACTCTGAAGATAGGGATCTCGAAGAAAACAGTCAGGAGCACCGTCATGGACATGAATGTGTATGAAGACGAGAGGGCCGATTCGAAGAACAAAAATACCAAATCGTTGACGATGGCCTGCCCCGAGGAAAGACCAACCAAGCATATTAGRAAGGCAACGGTATAGGCAGACKCCCCAAATGTTTTCGAGAAAATCGACCAATAATGCCGTATGGTGCTTTCTTTTTCGCTCTCATCGGTGCCAGCCGCGGGGTTAACGAAATATGGTTCGTTGTAGAAGAGATCCCTGCTTTCGTTGTCCTCCATCTCTCCCTCGCTATCACTTTGGTCATTTTCTYCGAACAAAAAATCWTCCTCGCAGGGAATGTCTGAAAGAAAAAAGATTGTGCTGTCGTTCTGTTTGGCCGATTGCAATCGACCAMGAGCATTGTCGGGAGTTCTGCCAAGTCTACTGTGCCTTTGTACAGAATAGGAATAAATCCATACCGCGACCACCAATAGGCCCGTCGACGCTATCGTCAAGGGGTAAAAGATCCAGAACTCGTTTCTTTTGTCTCTCGATTTGTCGCCCGACGATTCTTTTTTGCTGCAGTAGTCAAGCATAGGCCCTATTAGTAGGTTGGTAAGCGCCCATGAAATTGCTCCGAACAATCGTTCCTTCCCGTAGTCGTCCGTAGCTGCTCCTTGGTTTTTGTCACAATTGATTTYTACGTTGCGTTGCTGCTGCTGCTTCTTCAGAAAATCCAGACAAATTCCGTCCAGAATGGGAAAGACAAGCGATGTGCAGATGGCAAAGGCGATTCTCAAAGACACAAACCAGGGAAACGACTGGAAAAAGTGGCGGGGCACCTCGACCGTCGTTTCTCTTTCCCCCGCTTCTCTGGCGGCCCAGGCGTTGAGGTCGCCGCTGCCGCTCGTATTATTACTCGGCAGTGTCAAGGATGGCTCCATATCCTGAAAGAGGCAGCGGTGCGTTCCGTGCAGAAGGAACACCAGGCTTCCGAGGCAGCACCCGATCACCAGCACCAACAGGCGGCCCCTGTTCGGATACATCTTTTCGAGGCGGTCGGCCCAGATCCCTGTCAGCGAACCGGCAAACACACCAACGAACCTCTGGATCGCTAGAGCTAACCCAATCTGAGAAGAATCGAGTCTGTTCGTTGCGATGGATTCGTCGTCTTGGCCACCATGGGAAGATTCCGACTCAAGAAAGGTTGCAGTGAATCTGTTGTTGTGCCAGGTACAGTATCACAATATCACAATATCATAATGCAGTGCAGTGCAGTACAGTACAGTGCAGTGCAGTGCAGTGCAGTACAGTACAGTACAGCACAGCACAACACAATGCAATGCAATACGCAGTGACGATTGATTTTTGTTGTTAAAAATCAAGTTGGTAGTTGATGTGATCGAATGTAGTTTGCAGTGGGTTGGATCGTTGAGATTGTATTGTTGGAATCACAGAACAAGATGGTGTGAGTTATCGTACGGTGTATCGGAACAAAATAATGTAGAKGGACAGCACGGTGTGGCAGCAAATGATGAATTTACTCTCTCACACACGATAGAAATGTTACAATCTTGAACAATCTCTCGCGGCCGATGCGATACGATGTTATGCGATGCCATGCTCTATACGATGCGATATAACACGATGAAAAAACCCCGCGCTCACCTTCCACCCGTTGCCGCAATCCAGCAATAGACAGCTACATACAACAACCTTGGCCGGCTGAAAAAGCCAGGAGGCGTGTATTCGTATTCGTATTCGTATTCGTATCCCATCGGTGCTGTTCAAATTCAAATGTGTGTTGCCGAAAGAAAATAATGCCAATTGCTGCACAAAGGTTACGCTGGACTAACATGTGCTATCCCAACGAAGTGTATTGTTGGATCCAATTATGATCGGACACAACCATTAGAAAATGCTAGATCGTCTTTGTCTGTTRCTAATCTCTTTACTGTATGGTGCGTGAGGTGAGTTACATCCATTTACATGGATAGGGATACGAATGAGTTGCTGGATGGTGACGATCATTTATGATGATTAGGTTGACAATAATATTTTTCATCTTTCACGATCAACGCGAACGAAAAAGATAACACATGTACAAAGCACTTCTACGTAGTAATGTGCTTCAACTTCTTACAGATTACAGAACACCAGCACTTTCTACTCCTACGTCTCTACTGTACCACTGAAACCATTACGTCTGAAAACTGCATTATTACCAGGGTGCATGAAAATTTATCAGCTCATTTATAWACCAAAAATACTCCTTCGTTTGACGATTAAAGGTGGCAGTACAAAAAATTTTTGGTACTGTTTTTGGTCACAATTGGTCATAATGGTGACTTCTCAGATATGTTCATAGCCACGTAGATATTTTCATAGGCCCAGAAGTACCGGTATGTACGTACATTGTACAGTGTGTAGAGTGTAGAAGTASTTGTAKTTGTAGTTTTATACCCCCATAAGTACATTCCCTACGTACATTGATAGGTATTCAGGTACGTTACTATGTATCGTAGTACCGGTATTGTACTTTGTACTTCAAATCAATTATTCGTGTTGGTCGTTTGATTATGATGGTACGTATGGTACGTACTAGTCATGACCCACATACATGCTGCATGCAGAGCTCGAATATTTGCCGCAAGTGGCGGGAAAGAAGTTTATGGGTCTTTTGGAACGAAACTGCCTCTAGAATCCATACACGTATCGTCGGTCCGGTACGTGCGGAACCAGTACCAGAAGTACGAGAGAACTTTCCGTTAAAATTAAAATGACCAAATCATCGACAAGATTGGAAAAGTGTCATGCAGTACTAGAACATTGGACAAGTCAACGGCACAGCATCGCATAGGTAATAGTACGAAAGTTCAAGAGCTGTAACAAGGAATAACGGTAATAGTACTCGCATCACTTCGATTCTTGCTCCGATTGCATCATATTATTGTTCTTGTGTGATAACGAGCATCGGTTTGATCCACCAGAGCCTAACAACACAAAGGAGAAAAGAGAAGAGCAGCCCAAACTCAGTTCATTGCATTGCAGCACTTGTTGTCGAAAGCACAAGAAATAAAGTGCTCATACGCAAGAATACATCATACTACACTGAATAGGAGTACTTGATACCGCCCATTACTCACCAAGAACCAACGGACACCTACCAAAACACGACACGATGGCCGTCGATTGGGCACTCCGGGGCTGCTGCAACCGCGATGCTATCTTCTTCCTGTGCTTTTACGCTGGGTACTCCGTTCTCACGATGCTCTCTATGAACACCGTCGTTGTTAAGCCCATGAAACTCATTGCGATCTTCATCCACGAGATGGGCCACGCGTCGGCCGCCTGGCTGACGGGCGGGTCCGTCGACAAGATCGAGGTCTACCAGAACGAGGGAGGGGTCACCAACTTTCGGGGCGGATGGAAGCCCGCCATCATCCCGGCCGGGTATGTGGGCGTTTCCTTCTGGGGAGGCGTCTTTGTGGCGCTGAGCGGGAGCCAGATCGGGGCGACGGTGGCGGCGGGAGTCTTTATCCTGGCCCTACTGGTGTGCCTGAGGTATGTTGCCGTGATGTGCT